AACAAGACGTCACACATCGTAATATACTTGGCTAGCGGGTAGAGGCCCCAGAGCCCGTACTCGGTGGCCTTACGTGGGATTTTTCCCGAAGGGTACGGGAAACCGCTGAGTACGGGTCCTAGCTTATCACAAGCTACCTCGCAATGAAGGGATTGCATGTTGCCCCTTGCCCTTGTGGTTTAGGGCGCAGGGTTGGGCCGAACGGTGGGGGCCTGGCGGACATGACCACCAAGCATCTTGCTAGTAGTTGCACCTCCCTTTCCATCTTCGCCCTCCCCCATCGAGTCCCAGCATTGTCCAAGGCCAACACTCTCCCACACATCACAGTGGCCACACACAACCCGCTCACACACACACACACACACACACACACACTCACACCCACAACATTGGCTAAAGACACTTGACACTTTTTGTTTTTGTTGTGTTTTTTTTTTTTTTTGTACGAAAAGAAAGAAAAAAAGCGCGACAGCCTTGAGATATCATCGTGAAACTGACCAGCCTTGGGTAATTCAGCAATGTCGTTCGTTTTTGGGATTCGAGCTCAGGTCGGGATTTCAACAGTTCATGGGCGCACCAACACGCGAGGCTTCTTTTTGCCCCAACAATTTTGGGCCTCCGCGAACGGCACACTAAACGGGAAGGAAAGACAGCAGAAACTGGGAATATTCATACGGTACTATTCATAGTAACCAATATATGCTGCAGCATCCTGTGGGGCAGTGTGGGCATATGCACTCCTTTTCTTTTTCGTTTCGTGTGCCGTGTGGGGAGCCCCTTCAACGGGTATATCGAAGGGTAGGCTTCCAATTGTCCGGCCGTCCACTCCCGCTCATCCAACCCGCCGGTCATTTCGGCTTTTTTCAATCGGAAGCCTGAGCGCATGAGCGAGACCGGCGACCGCGCATCCGAACCTGCTGCTGCTGGGAGTTTTGCGGCAAAGTTTTTCCTTTCCGCGGTCCTGTGGGGTCCTTGCGTTATTCAAGTTCCCTCGGTGAGTCTTCATTGACTATTCATCCATCCGTGATCCATCCATCACATCCATCATCCATCCATCTATCTATCCACGCATCCCCGCGCTCCAACTGGAAATTCACTGTAATCAGGATCCTGTTCTACGCTAACTATTTTTAGGTTCTCTCTCTCTCTCTCTCTCTCTCTCTCTCTCTCTCTCCCCGTTCCCCCAGTTTCGCCTTTTCCCTCTTCCTGGGATCAAGTTGGTTTCTTTGTTCCTGCCAAGGACAGAATGCCATAAAAAAAATACGCAGGGCACTGCCGTTAGTATCATCAGCGCGCTCTCGAAATTACCATTTCGTGTTTTTTCGGAAGGAAATTACTTCGTTCTTAATTCTTCCATGGTCTGCTGGGGTGGCAGTGTCATATGGAGCGTGTTCGGTCTCAATGACCTCTTGTTGTTCTTTTCTTGGCCGGCGATGTGTTTGGTAGTGGTTGTACTAAGGTGCTAGCGTCTATGCGCGAGGGTAGACTGGAGTACTATGCTGTGCGCATACCGCGAATGCGCGAGGGTAGACTGGAGTACTATGCTGTGCGCGAGGGTAGACTGGAGTACTATGCTGTGCGCATACCTCTCTTTCCTACCTATCTCCGCACTTGTGCGTGCGCTCGTTCCCACCTCTTCCATACCCACCCCTCTGTACTTCTACCGACTCTCTTCACCCATCTTGTGAATGGGTTGATGAGTCGGTGTTGCTTGTGGCGTGAATGGATGGTCGATCTGGAGTTCTCTCACATTATCTACGCCGTGTGAATGGTTTGATGGGTAGGCTTTGCTGACGTGCGGGTTCCTCTGATGGAGGCTGGTTGCATACCATGTGGATGATGGTGAGAATTTGTCATCATAGTGATACACATCCTTTAGATGTCGCAGGCATACGCATGTTTTACGGATGCGAGGTTGATATTAGATGTCGCAGACATAGACCATCTTCGCTACAGTCTACCTTTCTCACCGCATGATGCTGATACAGTCATCAGTTCTATCCGGTAATCTGATTGACATAATCTCTCTCTCTCTCTCTCTCTCTCTCTCTCTCTCTCTCTCTCTCCGGTAATCTGATTGACATAATCTCTCTCTCTCTCTCTCTCTCTCTCTCTCTCTCTCTCTCTCTC